AATGGAATATATTTTGAAGCAAATGTAAAAGAAACATGAGGTCTGGAGTGGCAGTGGCTGCCCCAAGGTGCTGTCCAATTGCTTGGACCTCATTGTGGCTCCTCATGAGTCTGGACATGTGCCTGCCTTAACAATAAATATATTTTGAAATCAAATATCTCAGGAAGAAATAGTAGTCATCTTATCATTATAGATTTTCAGCAGTCACAGCTTTTTTTCTTAGTTTTTAAGAAACCAAAAAGTACTAAATAGGAGTGAGAAGAGTCCTAAATTCATAGGACTTACTGCTTTTGTTCAGAGCACCTGCTTTTCATGAGGAAACCACTTTCATATGATGAAAGGCAAAAGCAAAAAATATTTTACTAATTTATTCACTAAAATCTCAAGCTCTTTGAAACAATCCTGCAGGGATTGTGCATGGCAAAACCAAATGCATCTGGTAAGTGCTTCACATTTCAGACAGGTAAAAGGCAAAGAATCCACTCCTGCCTTGCACAAAGTGGGGAAGAAATGCAAGAAGAAATGGATGAGACCACTCTGTGATCTCATAGGGCAAGTCTTGCTTCTATGCATTGAAAAGAGCCATGTCTGTGATCTGTAGCCACAACTCCACAACAAAACAAAACAAAACAAAACAAAACAAAACAAAACAAAACAAAACAAAACAAAACAAAACACCACAGTCAAATCAACAACAACAATAAAAGAACAAAGAACATTGTCTTGAAAATAGTCCAGTTATAATTAAGAGAAGGCAGGGAAAAATTATTTAATTAAAAGGTTAAAGTCTTATTATCTCTTTTAATCTTTTCAACGTGGTGTCCCAAAATTAACTGTTAACACAAGCATGTAAACTTATGCAAAATAAAGACAAAATAGAATAGGAAACTCAGATATGGCACAAAAATTTGTATTCTGTGTCTTCAATTCACATTCCTGTAATTTTAGTAGATTTCACTGCGGCTGGGTAGATGCTACTAATTCTGCTCTATTAACACGAGTTAATGAAAGTATATTTAGGAAAATTTCCCTGCATATTGTTTGCATATTGTTTTGTGCATCTGACCTCACATTGTGATTTGGAGTTCATAAATGTGAGGTTTGTTGCACTGGTGATGTCTGTTACAACTGGCAGCAAGGGTAGAAGCTACTGATCATTTCAATATTTGAAAAGCATGAACCTGTGAAACTGTTTACAAAATTTTTCTTAAACCAGGTTTGCATCTCCATAAGATAAGGGAAACCCTTGAATAAAGAAAATTTCCTTCAATACAGGGAGACTATAACAGTTCTTCAGTGTAGCAGTGTATAAAGAAATTCTACACAAACCTGGGACAAGATCCATAGAAAAAGTTCTTATGAGGTAGCTGTAAACTGATCACAGAGGGGAACAACCAAGTACTGAAAAAAAAAAGGAGAAACTAAAGGGGTTTTTTTCCCCTATCCCTTGAATTTTGCCATTTATGCAAATTCACCAGTAATTAGCAGCAGATGAGGTTTTTCATGAAGACTGGACAACAAGATCATGCTTGATAATTTTCCTGGCATTTAAAGTAAGTGAAAATTTAGAATCTAAATTATTGAAAAAAATAATTCCAAGAATAATGACAGATTTGCCACTCTCTTTAATACTAACATTAATAACAATATTAATTTTTAAAAAAAGCAACTATCAACTAAATTATTACTCAAGCAGAATTAAGGTTACCTCATAATTTTAATAAAGGTTGTGCTCATCCTAAATTCCATGCTCAATCTTTGATAAATTCAAATGTCGGCCCAGTTTTCTCTTTGTATTTAGGACTTGGTTTTTGTTTGATTATTTAATTGTTGTTGCTGTGTTGGTTTGGTCTTGGGGTGGCCTTTTAAAGTTTTTGAAATCCTTATTTTGGCACAGGACATGAATTCACTGAAATATTTGTGTATGAAGAGGGTATTCCAACCAAATTTCATTTTATTTGATAATTGCTGCATTAAGTACTTTGACAATTTGAGTGTCAGAGATCTGTTGCAGTGAGAGCAAAAGCAGAAAGAAAGAGTGGATAAGGAGGGACTGAGCACTGCAGACACTGAAGGTGAGGAATGTTGAGACTGAAGGTGGGGGAAGAAATGCTTGAAGTTGAGAATGCTAACAGGAAGGGAAGTTTGCTTCTTATGTTGATATAACATCCCCTTCTTTTCCCCCCCAGTAATCAAAGTTTATATTACTTGACATTTAAATAAATTAATTAAACCAGTCATCAGGTTGCTCTGCTCATAGCAGCATGATGTGAAATTTTTTGTTTTGTTTTATTTCTCTGGTTGTCCTTGTCAGGATCACTTCTTTCAATCTCCTCAGCTTGCCCTCACTATCTACTGGAAATGTTCAATCATTTCATCACAATCAGTCAATAAAAAATGCAGTAGCTAATGTTTTCCTCATGAACATTTTGGTTTTGCTTTTTCCAGTTTGCAACAGGAGTGTTCTGTCAGGGTCTTAGGAAAACAAGAAACCCACAACAGTATGACTTAAAATAGATACATATTTGGTGCTGGAAGACATCTGAGTCTGATCGAGGCAGTAGAAGCTTTACAATTTTCACAAGACTCCCAGTCAGTGATGCAGATCCATTACCTCAATCTGCCCATCACAGTAAGTCAGTTGGAAGTCTCTGTCTGGAGGAGGAGGCTGGCTGGTGGGTATTTGTCACTCTGAATGTGATTGATGCTATCAGGGTGTTAACCTTGGTACTTGACAGCAATTCAATAGGAAGCAATGTATTTCCAGGCAGCAATTTTATTTGTAGAAAGGAAGATATTTTCCTTTTTTCCAAATACAAAGTCTGAATAGAAAGATTGAGACTTTCTGGAAGTGTCACTGGAATAGAAAGATAAATACAGGGACTTGTACCAGTTGTCAAAAGGATTGAAGTGATTTGTGTTGCATCTGCAGCTCCTGGGAGCTTTGGGAATGACAGAAACAGCAACTGCTCTGAGAGCTGCAAAAACACATCCCTGCAGAGCTCTTGCTCCTGAGCTCCTTACAGCTCAAATAGATAAGTCAAGACAAGAAAATATTTTTAAACTATTTTATAGATGGTAGTTAAAAGCCAGATATTTAAGGCCTGCAAACTTTTTATCGGTTGCAGGGTTTAAGAGACTCAGCTCTGTTCAGGTTTCAAAGGACTCTAAATTGAGTCCTAAAATGGCCTGCAATTAAACTGTGATTTTACACATCTTTCAGAACTAAAAGTTCAGAGAGATTGTCAGAGACTTTAATTCAGTATCAAAAAAACAAAAAAAGAAAGTAATACAGATTAATTTTTCCTAGGTTTGGCCATGAAATTGTGTGTGTTTAGATATATATATATATACGTACCTACCCACACCTATATACATACACATATATATGTGTATGTGTATACATACATATAAATTATATACACATATATTTACAAAAATTAATTTTAACTCCCTGAGAAAACATGTTGAAGTCACGTTTCAGTCTGAGCTCCATCTGTAAGCATTTGTAAAAGAAAGTCATACGAAATCCAGCATTTACTTTCAGCTTGTCTGTATAAAAGACTTTATGTCTAAAATACTTCAAAACAACAATACTGAGGTGAACTCCTTTTAATTATCCACTGGAAATCATCTTTTGATAGAGCCAAAATGTCAAGACAGTCAGAATCTTACTCCAGAATTATGTTTCAGAGAAGCAGCAGCACCAGAGCTGCATAACAGACTAATGAGAAATGCTCTGAAGCTGATGGTTTTGCCTATTGTATTAATATTAATGGACAAAACCAAACAAAGCCCCACAAACAAACAAAAAAAAACCCCACAATAAACCCAAAACCAAACCAAAACAGAAACAACAAAAACATCAAAACCCCCAAAATCCCTAACCACCTTAATATTCAATATTGGTTAGTTCTCTCCATTCCCATTCCCTGAAGCAACTTCTGTTTTCTATCGGATGTTAGGCTTAACTTCCTTTAAATGAGATCACATTCTAGACAATGATTCTAGTAAACATGAGAGGTTTATCTTATATTATTTTATGTGTTCTGATCCTGATTCCATTTCTGTATCCACCTTCATACTTAGCTGTAGAACAGAGTGACAGAATTTTGTCCTGCATTCTGTAAAACAGTTATATTTATTTCCCTCAAGCCAGCTACTTAAATGATTACTGTATTTTCTGATATGTGCTGCAAATCCACCCAAGTAACTGAGTTTTTAGTTATTTTTTCTTAGTTAAGTTGTTAACTGTGATCTTCAAACACGCCTCCATTGTTGTTTTTTTCTTATTAAGACAAAAATAAAGCTAATAGGCACGGTGAAAAAAGAAACTAATAGCTGCCATAGGAGGTCTTTCTCTCTTGTTTTCTTTAAAAAAAATAGTCAGAAATCTGGCAAAACCTCCAAATATGTTGATTTATTTGTGAATGTTTAGCCCAATTATTTTGAGTACAGTCCCTCACAGAGTTTTAACTATGCTTGTAGTGATGTGATGGGGATTTAAAATATATCTCTGTATGAGCAGAGAATATAAATACTTGAGAAGTTCTGAGAATCACAGGATCACAGAAGAGCTGGGGTTGGAAGGGACCTTGAAGGAAATCTCATTCCACCCTCTGCCATGGGCAGGAACACCTTCCACTTTCCCAGGTTGCTCCAAGACCTGTCCAAGCTGGCTTTGGACACTTCCAGGGATGGGGCAGCCAGAGCAGCTCTGGGCATCCTGTGCCAGGGCGTGACCACCCTCACACCCACAGGGGACTTATAAAAAGGAGGAATAGGGATTCCTTACATGGGCAGGCAGTCCCCTAAAAAAACCATGAGGCTACAGAAGGTGATCCCTTTCTTCAGGCTGAATGACTCCAGCTTTTTCTTGGCTGAAATGGTGAGATCAATAACAAAACAATTTTTATAAAGTCAATAAAGTGTCTTTATGTTTCCAATGCTGGTTTTCTCACTACTTACTTATCTAGTGATCTATGTATTATTTAGCCATTCTACATTTCCCTGAAAAACATTTTTTTTCAGTGCTAGATAAAAGCATGAGAAAAAATGAAAAAAACAACAGGGATATAGGTAAAAGGTAGGGAGTTTACTACATTCTATATTTCCTCTATATTTGGAATGTTCATTATTAAGAGAAAAGAGCATAGTCTTCTGAGTACATTAAAATCTGGAATATCCAGTAGATTAACAAGAGTAAGGAATGAATGGATTGGTTTTGTTCTTATGTTGCTAGTTTAAGTTAACACCACACTATTCATATGTTAGAAGCAGGTCGTGCTAACGGTGGGATGAATTACTTCAGGAGCACTGGGTATGGGGATCTCTTGGAGATAATTGCAAACTTGAATATCAAAGTGTGCATAGACTAAAAGCACATAACATCCACAATGAATGCATCTTGGGATGCATTCATCCCAAGGGAAAGAAATGCATCCCTTGATGCATTCATCAAGGGAAAGAAAGAAGATGGGCTCTTAAGTCCCCAGTTTGTGTCAAAACTGCTTTCAGCCGTTTTTACTTTTTCAGCCTACTTCAGCCTTTTTTATATTTTTAAATAGCAGTGAAGACAAGGACTTCTGAACATCTTTGGGTTTTTTTTATTTACAAGCATTTGCAAAGCACTGTCTTTCCTAAAACCCATGTCTTCTGAAACCCTGGGGTTTAGGATGCCTGAATACACCAATCAGCAAGTGCACAAACTCCATCAGCTACAGTCCCAAACTCAAAGCAGACAGCTCCATCTTTTTGTGGTTCCCGACTGCCCTCTCAGCACACCCATTCCAGCTCCAAAGCAGAGGATTGTGAATTGCTCTCTCAGGGATGAGTTCAGAACAGTCACGTGTGGATTCAAACAGCTGCCACCAAAATCAGCAGTGAAGCCAGCACACACAGGTGTCTGAGCAGCGGCAGGAGTGGGGAAAATCCCTGTGGTGACTAAAAAGTCTGTTTCACTGTCAGCTGCCTGTGGGGAATGCTACTCCAGCCTTTTAAACTGCGGTGCTGAGAATGACACGGAGAGAAATGGGGGAAAGGGGAATTCTTGGGGGTTCCACTGGTACCTCAGGGCTATGGTGTCCCACTCCCACCTCCTCCTGGAGGAGGAGGAGCTCCTGGGAGATAGTGGGAGACAGATCAACACTCTTGAGGTGATGGTTTGTTCAAGAACTATCTTTAGGAAATGTAACTGGACAGAGGCAGGAATTCACACTGCCATTTATAATTAGGCAGGGATACACCTCTCTCTCTCTCTAGGAGGTTACACATTGTTCCAGCAATCTGGGGTAAGGCTCAGCTGGTGTGAATTTGCTGGCTGGTGGTACAGATTGCTACTCCATTCCACTCCTTTTCTGGTAAGAGATATTTTTTCCCCCTTCTTCTAAAATTGAGGAAATGTTTTGTGAATGGCACATTAGAATAAAAATTGAACCTCAAGGTGTTAAAGACTAAATTTAAAACTGATGCATAGACAGTCTGCTACCAGGAGTATTCCTTTTGGGTTCAGCTTTAAATCCACATTAATTATACTGAAATGAATAACTGCTTCTTGAGTTGCAGCAGTGGAAGATTTTGCTCCAATCTTTGCTGTATTTTGACTGAAAAATCATAGCCCTGAATATAAGTGTTAAATATTAATATTGAATTTAAATATACATGAAGGGAACTGCTTCCATATGTTCATATTATGAATCTAATTCCGTTTTAGTAGAATGAGCCACAAGCAGTGGGCCTGTTTCACTGTACCATTAATCTCAAAATGCTGGTAGTGGAATTTAATTGCCTGCATTAAAATTTAAGCCTCACTTTCTATTTCTGTCTTTCAATGCAATTGGATCTTTTCCCTGAGTTGCAAATGCCAAAACCTATTTACATTGCATAAGGAATATGACCTTACACTCATGTGACATCTGCAACAAATTTCATGAGACATTCCCAAAGAAACAGCTCCAAGGTTTGAAATGGAGAGATTTTAAGCTGTAGGCATAGCAGAAGGAATGAGAGGAGATGTAATTTCTGTGTCATTAAAGTGAATGGAAATTTGAGTTCATCAAGGAGGGGCTCAGCAGTGAGTCTCAGGGTAGGCAAAGTCCCCAGACATGGACAGACAGAAAGGAAACCAGCAGTAGACAACTAAAGATGGAATTAAAAGCACAAGGAAGGATAGCAAAGATGTATATTTCTCACTTTCTGAGATGGTGGAGAAAACCAGGCTTGATAGAAAAATACAAGAGTTGCCTAAATTAGCTGCTAAATATGGAACAGAGTATCTGGTGTTGGCGAGCAAAAATCTTGTCACCTGAGACATGAAAACCACCTAAAGTCTCTCTGTCCTTCAGATTTCCAGTTTTCTGTCTTGTATGAGTTGGTCTGATAAAGCTCTTTCCTCTTCCAGCAAATTCTGTGTCTCCCATTTCCTCAGCCCATTCAGTCCTCAGGGGCTAAAATATTGAGACATGGGGAAGGAAACAGAAAGGAAGAAGGTGCATGAAATGTTAGTATGCTGTGCCTGATGCAATTCCAACAGCTTCATCCTGAATTCTTCCACTGACTAGGGATGTCATACTGGATTCATAAAAAAGAGAGAAGAGGAGGGCATGCCAGAATAGAGAAATGAAGAAGAAACAGACTCCTTACAAGGCATGATAGAATATAATGATGTAGAACATAAAAATATCACACATTTTTTTATTTCTGGCCATCAGTGAAAACTAAATCTGCCTATATTCTGAGACAGGTAATATGTTTTCTCAACATATTTCTATAAAATATTCATTTTCCCATGCTAGCGCAGAGTCTGCAAGCTGTAGTTTATTAAAAATCCTACAAGTAAAAAATGGCAGTAATGAATTTTTAAAAAACTGTATTCTCTTTGAAGATGATCAAGCAGAGTTTACCAGGCAGAAAAATAATATTAAAAATGCAAGTAAGAAATCAAAATCAAAATCAATTAAGCAAACAAATCTAAATGGAGCCTCTTAACCTTTTTTTCTCAGCAGTAAAACTGATCAATGGGCCAAGTTTATGCTTTTAAATGGTAATTTTGCTTATTCATTGAAGAGGTTGGGTTTTTTTACTCTTATCTTATTTTCAGTAGCTCCTCAGTTTGTAGGCTGCCAAGCAATGCAATCACATGTTTACAAACAGCCTGTCTTGCGTCCTGGCTTGTGGCATTTTTCCTGCACATGGAAGGCAAGGAAGGGAGCTTGAGGAACAAAAATAAAACAGGGCAAAAAATCACCCTTCAAACCCCATTCTGTCTTTGCCAGGGACTCAGTCTGACTCTCTTCACATGTGGTGCCAAAAGTCTTTTTCTCTGTGCTCTGCTGCTGGAGAAGAGCTGGGCTCTCCCTGGCACCAGAGGGGATTTCTCCCCAGTGCTCCTGTTTCTGTTGTTTTAGGGAAGCTCACCACAAGGACCAGGTACGTGCCTGGTGCAGATTATGAGAGAAAACTGCTTTCTAGAAATAACAGCACTGCTTTTATGGACAGGAGTGTTTTACCACAGCAAGGAAAAATGTTTGGTGTCTTGATTTTAGGTGCTCTTGCCTTCTCAAAAAACTGTAACACCCTCTGAGAACACAGGGCTGCTCAGGTCAGGGGCAGGGCTAGGGAGAAAAGGACTTTGACATTGGCTCAGTTTTCTACTCAGGCAGATGGCACAGCACCAAAAGCATCTAGGATCAGCAAAAAACCATCCAATTAATTTCCAACAATTTTTCCCTCATACATAAAAATTGAAGTTTTGTGGACCTTTTTGCATTGTCAAGACAGAAAAATAAGAAGTAATGTGGCTACACAAACAAAACTTAGATGTTGGTTTTTAGTCAAAAATATTAATTTCAAACCCTCCTGTTCTACCACTGAAGCTCACAGAAGATTCAAGAATGGCTTTGCAATTCTTGCTTCAATGGATACAAAAATTTAGAAACTGCAGAGAAAATGATTCCTTAACTTTATATTGTGAGAAGGTTGTATTGATATCTATAGCTAATGACAGCAGCTCCCATTACTCTACTTAGTCAGAATTATGCAACAAGAGAAAATAACCACAGTTAGATTCATGTTTTTTAAAAGGCCTTTGGTGAAGAAAGGACTGTGCGGTTTGAATGTGAATATTCAGTGGCTTTCACCAGTTAAAACAGCCCATCCTGTTGTATTCTGGTGGTGACTGTGTTCTGCAGTGTTTGCATCTACAATGAGCCTATGTACCTGCAGATCCAGTAGCACTACACCTAAATCAAGTTTTCACTTGTGCTGTAACATGTATTTCAGCCTCTATTGGACTTACTCGCCAAAGCTTTACAATAATGTCAAGAAGGACAAAATTCAAAGGACAAAAGGCCAAAATTCAATCAAAATGCAGGAATGTTTTGGTGGGACGAAAAATTGTGAAAAACAGCCTTCTGATTTTGAAAACTAAGACTAATAGTGTAATCTTCCCCAGATAGATGTCCACTATAGAAATGCAAGGTATTTTTATGCACTGAAAGTGAAAGTTGACTGGTACAATAAACATGTCGAATGCTTTAATGCTGATTATCAATGATGACTATAAAGCTTTCACTGAGCATGAACCTCAGGCAAGGAAATAAATCAGTTTACAATAACTGAAAAATGTGTAAATACTCTTGCAAATTATTTCTCCAATGCATTTGAACAACTTTGCTAAAGCAGTAAAAAAATATTACCAAACCACCTCTTAGTCCAAGAGGAATGCCATTCAAACCCAGTAGACACATGTGTAGCATAACTTACTAGGATAATTAGAATTTTCACAAGGCCATTATGCCCATGAAAACAACTGTAAACATGAAATATTTTATCATAATAAGCAATATTCATTTGTGTCACCATCCTGAATGAGCTGAGCACTTCAATAATATTCTAATTATACTTCCACCTACTAATTTGGACACTGGGAGAGAGGAAAAAAACAAAGGGGGGAAAAAAGTCTTAAATAGAGTTAAAGTGATTCTTATATGACTTTGACACTTAATTTAAAATCTCTTCCCTATTCTTCCTGCATGAAAAACTGAATTTCTGAAAATCTCATACCATTTATATTTCATGTGTTGTAGCCCACAAACACAAATAAAACTCTATATTGCAATACTTAGTAAGTAGTAAATGGTATTTTTGTCTCAGTAAGATAGAAGTCCTTTTGCTCTCATTCTCTGTCTTAAACTTGATTTGCAATTACCTTCTCAGCTGAGCACCAAACCCATTTTTCCTCCTCAACTCCATTCCCTGAGTAGGTGCTGAGCAATATTTTTAACAAGTCAAATTGCTAACATCAGAGGGAGACAGATAGTCTTCGTCCTCTCAAACTATCACTTGCTTCTGTGCTCTGATTGAGAAATATACTTCAATGCCTCTTTTCCTACTGCTCTCTAAAGGTACAGTGCCGTTCTGGTCCTGGGCAACCTCCTGTGGTCCTTTGGCTCCAGGACCTGTGGGTCACAAGACATTTCACTGAATCAAAAGTGAGTGATTATAACATAATATTTTACCCTTCTGGTTTTTTCACACTCTTGTCTCCCAGCCACAGTGAAGAATTTTTGTGTCAACGTGTTGAGACATCAGAGCCTCTTCCCCTGGCACGCCATGGAATTCAGGAGGCATCAGACACCGTGTGGGTTCCTGAAGACACAAACACCACAATCCTCTGGTCTATGACTACAGCAGGGCAAAACAAAGGCACAGCTATGTTTAAGTGCTCTACCTCGATTTAATATTTCCATGTAAAGACTTGGTATTTCTGAGGAAAGGAAACAAGAATAAGTTGAGAGCTGGCTTTAGAAACATTTTGGTTCTAAAACTTTCTACCAACCAAATGTATTTTCCTCCTGTCCCCATCTAACACCCTCTCCCTTCCTTCCTCCCTCTCTCTTTTCCTCCCCACCACCTCCCTCTTTCCCATTCTGTCAATATCAGTATAATTCATGCTTCATTTAACCCAGCATATTGCATTAGGCTTCTCACAGGACCAAGCAAGATAAAAATTAAATCTCAGATCAGTTCGTGCATTGCCTTGCCTTCATTTTTCTGTAAGTGAAGCCAGTGCCCTGACAGGTTTCTATCTGAGTTGCAATGTGCAGAGCACAGTATCTCATTATCCACCCAGCAGGTTTGCTGTTAACAGGGTAGCACTGCCTTCTTTGCATTGACCTGCTTACCAAGTTACAGTTTCCTGCAGTGACAGTTTTGGTTCTGAATCTATGGCTGAGCAAAACAAGTATAAGCAATTGTTTTTTTTCTTTTAAAGCTAGGCACTTTTTAAAATCATCACCTTAATTTCTTAAACTATTTTATGTACGGCATCTAGCAAAAAAACTGAACTCCTTTTACATGATCAACATTCAGGGCAGTCCTTGCACAGGCACTCAGAGTAGAATTATGAGAATATCCACTTTAGAACCACTAAGTATGAACACTTTATAAACTGTTGTCAACCTCAGTGCTGCTTCTCCAAAGCAGTATGGCAATTAAAGTGTATTCCACAGTACAATCTTCACTCCAATTTAAATATAAAAGCATTTGCAGCATGTAGCAGCATTCAGGAAATTTATGTCTACCATGATGCATTATTTAAAGTGTCCTGAACTACAGCACCAAGAACATATTTTTAAGGTGTTAGGCATGAGAGTTTTCAAGGTCATGGAAATTGCTGGTTTGCTCTAATTGTGTAAGTCTAGTGTGTACCCAGAGCAAGCATAAAGAAAAAGAAATATTTCCTACATATTTCTTTTGTGCCTTCCTAGTGACACAGCAATTTCTCTTTTTTAACTTTGTTCACAAGCTGAGACAACTGGTGCATCTCAATCAACACGTCTTGCTTATATATTTTAACACTTATTCCTAATCTTATTCTACGTATATATTTCAATTATTAAACAACACTTTCACATTAGTGGTGGACAAGATAATACTATAATTATCATGCTTACCTTTATTACTGTTTGTTATCATCCCCACATGTTATATGGAGCATCTCAATGTCACTGTGCCCTGCTGGTGCTGCTCACGGAGCTCCCACTGTCCCTGCACATGAAGCACTGACCAAGACCCTGCAGCTCCTGCTCCCTTTCCCTCATAGAGCATCACCCGACAGCCCCACCAGTGGTGTCAGAGCTCACCAGACCATCTTCCCCTCTAGAACCCAAAATAGCTGCCAAACTGGCTCAAAACAGGGAGAAATTTTGGGGTGGAGTGGTTGAATATATGCCTACACAAAGTGCATTGTAGGTTTCTGGTCATGGAGAGAGTGAGATGTCAATAGGTGTCTCTGTTTCCATAACTCAATTTCATACATTTTAATTCTATTTCAAATGAACTTGACAACTTGTAATTTTTAAAATTGTTCTTGCTAAATTTCCAGTGTTTCTTGCAAATTCTCAAGTGATAAAAACCTGCTTGTGATCTCATTTTTTTACCTATTTTACCTATTTTTTAACTCCTTTAAATGTGTTTCTTGTATTTTTTACCCCATAAAGGATCAATTTTAAAAAATTCCTTTTAGCAAAACCAGGATTTTCCACTCTCACACAAAAAATATCACTGTCCCAAGGCTGGTTGCCCTTTCAGCAGTTCACCACTGTCATGCAGCAAATTGTTCTGCTCTTCCCATCCACTATTTCCAGAACATTTGCAAACAGAAAATGAGCCATTTTGCTTAAGTGCTTTTCATGAAATCCATGACTAGACAATTTGATGAGGAACCTATTCGAACACATATCTGAAATAACAATGTGCAGAATTTTTAAAAATTTGCTTGGGTGGGATATTTTTCCAAGCAGAGGCTAAGATCCTTTAAAAATACCCATAACCAATGAAGTATTTAATAAATTGTTTGGTTTATTATTATGATATGTGCTCTAAGGTTGAAAAGAGGTGGGTTTTAATAAAGATAAGGAGTGTGTAAAAAAATAGGAGGTTGAGCTGTATGTTTTGTGTGCTTTGTGCAAGTACACCTTTGCTGCATGGTCACATTTTACAGAGCAGTAGTTTTGCTGGAATGTAGTAAATTGGAGTTTGACTCAATATGTTTTCACAATGAAGATCTCTCAGACAAAGAATGGCATGAATGTTACTCCCTCCATAGGCAAAGGTGTCAAGATCTCCCTGACAGCAACAGAAAAAGGGTTCATGAAACCATTTAGAGTAGTCTTAGAGTACTAGAAACAAAGGCAAAGATGTCTTGATTGCTTGGAAAAGTTTTCAAGATATAAATTGAGAACATAACAGAAAGGAACAATTAATTTTCTTCTGTCATGAGGACACTGAGATTAAAACAAGGCCGATTAGGCAAATCCTGGTTTTTTGGGTGGGTTGTATTTATTTTCAAATTTTGTTTGTTGTTTTGGTTTTGTTTGCTTGTGTGTGGTTTTAGTGGGTTTTTTTTTTCTTGCTTTTTGTGGGTTTTTTTTGTTTGTTTGGTTGGTTTGGTTTGGTTTTTGTTGTTGTTCTGAGTTTTTTTGTGTTGTTGTTGTTTTTTAAATGATTTAGTTCCTTTTGAATTTGGGATGCATTGGCTGTGAATACGGGTGTGCAGAGCATCTGACACAATGAGATGTAGGACTCAGTTCTGGGTTCTGTGTCCTGGCAGTCCCGGAGTGGAGCTAAAGCCTGACAACACTCACCCTTTTGCTGAGGAATTTCAGCTGCTCTCTGGATTTTGGCTGCATCCAAATGCTGCTGGCAAAATCAATGACTCTCCTTTGTCTTTTACAGTCTAGAAGGAAATCAGGAGAGGAGACAAAGCTTAGTGATGCAAAGGCTCTGTGTTGTACAAAGGCTCTGTTTCTGCTCAGCATTTAAGGGCAGGCTGATGCACGCACAGCTGGGCTGCTCTTAAATGCCTTTAATTCTTAGCCTAATACAGCACCCATTGCTCCTCAAAGCCTTTCATGAGGCATTATCACTCAGACCCATCATCCTCAGGAGTTTGTGAAGGGGACTGCTGCTGTTGGTGAGGCTGTAAATATTGTAATTTCCCAAGTATAAAGGTCTCAATATACATCATGCACAAGTGGTGGTGAGGGTGGTGGCACAAAAAGGGTCAGGTGTAGTCCTGACATCACTATAGTTTTTCCCATAAAAGTTAGGATTCTGCCTAGAATCTGCCTAGATTTTGCAGCCTAGCTCTGTCTTTCATGAATGGTTCTCAGGACACATGAATCTAAAAAAATTATTCATTAGGAACACCAGCTTCTGTGTACACTGCTGAATTAATTTATAAGAACAAGGATTTCAAACATATCCAGGTGTCAGAAACACAGACCTTATCTTCTCAATGTGTTTTTCTCCCAGAAGAAAGTCCCTCTCTGTTGAGGAATATTTTAGCTCTGGAAAGTGAAATGAGAGAGAAACAACTTGTGGGAGTGTCCTGTTTCATCAAAAAAGGTATAATGGAGTTAACATCTCCAGGCTGTAAATGCTGTTCCTTTCTCAAAATAAAGTCAAAAGAAATTGAACTCTTAATTGAAAAGCTTATCTGATTCAATGCTGTACAATGCAGTTTAATTAACACAATCCTCCTTTTCTGTTGTTGTTTGGATTGATCTATAGGTTTATATCTCTTGTTGCAAGAGCAGAACAGGGAATGAGGCAAAACATCACAGTGTAGGAAACCTGCATGCTGCAGTGGGACAGAGTTACCATCTGGCTGGGACAGGAATTCAGGCCAGTGCTGAAGAGATGGAGAGGCACAGATCCTGCCTGACTGGTGCAAAACTGGCCCTGGTGCCTCAGCCACCAAGCTCCACCAGCCCAACAGCTTCTGACAGCAACCTCTCATTGTGTTAGGCTGAAGGACGTTCAGAGCCCCCAAATTCTTCCTCATCAGAACAAGAGCTGACATGCATTTCCTCTGTTGATAAGCTGGTATGAAATCCCACACCAGTCCTACAGACATTATTGACTGTGGCAGCTGAAGTAGAGAATTCACAGTTATTCTAGGGAGATCTTAATTTCTTACCATCTTGATCGATTTCTGCTCCCACTTTTTTTTTTTACCTACAGCAATTTCAGATCCCCCTAAGCCCTAGGAATAATTTACTGTGTGACACTCTGTGACACTGCCACTCTAAAACAAAAAAAGGAGGGGGAAAAAGAAAGGAAAATCTTAAGGATACTACAGACATCTTTTCATTTCTCCAGGCTAATCAACATCAATATTGTGGCAGGATTACCAGGATTTGTAGAGTTATGATCATAATATCCACCAAGAATAAAACAATATATTATTTTTACTGTCTTTGTCAGCAAAACAAAAAATTCTGGCCCTCAAAGAAAATGTTGGCTTGAAAGACTCTGCATTGGGAATTTCATGAAGAACTGTTTTCCTATGCAGTCTTTACACTCAGTGTGTTTGGGGGGGAAGGTGGAAACAAAGGTAGTTAAAGGAGGCGGCATATCCATCTTTCCTCAACAAGAGGGGACAAATCTGTTCCAAGAGCTCTTCAGATGACTGCTGAAATGCACCACAGCCAAGCACAGGGGCTGAGACTGTGCTGCTGTCCTGTGGAAATTGACTGCTGAGCTCTTCAGCCTCAAAATGTCATATTTTCTGCTCCCAGCATTCCTCACACCCACAAAATATTTTTATATTACATTAAAATACCTGCCAAGTCACTTGACTCTGCTGCAAAGACAAAATCTGACTCAAAATTATCTCAGCTGGATGGGCTGAATCTGCTTCCTGTGTCTTCTTTCAACAGAATTCCTGTGGTAGCCCACCACCTGTAACCAATTAAATGTTTTACTTTAAGTAGGATTAAACTCTAAATGTTAGTGATCTTATTCTGACCCCTAAACTCTTAATCTGACCCATAAACCCATTAACATATTTCTGCTGGTAATCCGTAGCCTGAAACTTTGGTAATAAATTCAAAATTGGTTATCCTGTTACTATTATCTAGAAGTGTCATAAAAGCTTGCTGTGTATCATAACAAAAATGCTGATTTATTTCCCAAAACTGATGCAGGTCTTTTTCAGATAAAAAGGTGTGTTGCACATCAATTCTTAACATAGATAAATCTCCAAGGGCTGCTGGTCTAAACCAAGCATGGAGGGTTTCACACCGGCTTACTGTCAGTCAGGTAGTGCTGATGTTTTGGGTAGCAATTATTGCTACAAACATGGAAATCTTGCTTTGAGGGACTAATAATTAAATGAAAAATTACAGTGCATTTTATGGACCAAAAAAAATTGTTTTGTGATAAATACCTTGGAGGTCTTCATGTGCAATATGTGTTTCTCAAGATACTGACGCTATAGAAGTGATGTGTGTACTATAAATGTTTGGTGGTTGGTTTTTTTTGCTCCGGACCAATTTTTCTATGAGGGAGGGACATTTTTGAATATTAACCTCCTTGGGAATAAAAATAATGATCTGGCAGGTAAGTACTTCTCCTCTCTTGCCCTGGCACTCATATACTGATATAAGAGCCAAATTTACAGGGGATTTTCAGATGTGTAAAAGGCCAGATGGAATGCAAAGAAGGGGAAGAACTGAGCTCATTTACTTACATGCAGGAGCTTCTAAGTAATGAATTCACCTGTCATGTAGATAGCAGAGCTAAGGCAACAAAGTGTGTATTAGAGGTTCATTATTTATCAGAAACAAGCTTTAGATATTAACCTGTATTCTATAAGCATTTAGCACACTCACAGTTAAAGAAATGTATCAAACTGATGTTGTAGGACTGTGTTGGGCTTGAAAAAGGTTTGTAACACATGTTTTGTGTTGAGAAGAGGTAGATATCCTGGATTAGATGCAATATTAATTGCCCATGATTTTGCTTGTATTATCACAGTTCCCTGAGCTGTTGTAGGTGGGACCAGTCCAGATATTCCCACATGCCACTGGAACTAAAAAATTGCTGAAGCTTGGAGCAGTCATTAGTCCCTCTGGGTTTTTGTCCTACATTTTTTTACAGCTGCCTCAGAGAAAGCTCCAGTTTCCATCTGTCTTTGCATCTGGGAAGATGAACTGTAAATCCTCTCTTTGCTTTGCACTGCCAGACCAATCCTGAGAAGTCCAAAGACCACATCACTGTAAACTTTGAAGAAAGGAATTGAGAGAATGAATCTCACTAAGGATTCTAGGGAAAGTACTGTGAGAGCAAGCAGTGGCTTTACCAGTCCTGTAATAGCCTGTGTTGCTAGAAACACAAACAAAAGCATTTGGTATGAGCAGATTTCCCAGGAGTTGGTGGATTTCATTCATAGATACAATCCATTGCTGTAATTGGAGCAGCTGTTTCAAACACAGGTACAGCCTAGAAAAAATCCTCAGCCACTATTACAGGACAATTTCCATGCCAACCTGAGGTGGTGCATAATATTCTATACAACAGTTGTTGTGCAGAACATAAGATAAACAAATATGCCAGAGGCCATGAACTGGCATTTAATGTTCTTATGTATATTTATTTATTAATATTTTTCTTTATCAGCTTACTTTTTTTATCTACATTCAAGTCTTCAGCTTTTCTCTACCTATCAGTGCAACAACAGACACAACATTTTGGAACCATTTCAGTGCTCAATGCAACTCTGTGTAGCTTTCATTTACATCCCAGACATGCATTTCTTTAGTGCGAATCCATTCCTATTGTCCCTGAAAAGAGCAGCAACTTTTCCATGACAGAAATGTGAAGAGAAAAGCCTTTTTTATAAAGAACTGAGGTTTCCTGGGAGTCAAAGCTGATATATGGGGAAGCTTTAAGATTAAAGCACAACAAATCAATTAAAAAGCAACTTGAGGAACTTTGCTCATTTTTCACAGTAAGGTTGGGCATTAAGTTATTTTCCTCTCCACAGCTCTTTAATCTTTGTTCACAAAACATAGGTAAATATTTTTCACGTATACCTCTCTGAGGAGGTGCAGGTCCATGTAGATCTTACAGGAAGGACCAGGCATTTCCTCTGGTCCTGACATGACATTTTTTTCCTGAATGAAGCTAGAACAAAATAGTGGTTTATGTGCATAAACCAGTGTGCATAAACATTTACACCCAAATTCTGAGCTGTGATGGTTTAGGGCCAAAGTTCCAACTTCCACTGTAGATTCTGCACATTATGGCATTGGTAATAAACAACAACTAGTCTGGTGATGAGTGTTTCTAAAAAAATATGACCTTGGATGCCATGATTTCACTTTCTGATTCATACGTATTCTGTACCAGCAGCAGGATCAAGTGATGTTTAACATGAAATCACATAATCTTATCACTTGAATGAAATGAAACAGGTATTTAGTTTAATAGAAGACCCTGTTCTTTTTTTCCCCAATTATAAAGGGATTTCTCTGAGCAAACAAGGGAAAGCAGCAAAGTATAAGTTTTCTCTTTGCCAGGTAAAATTTAGTTCCTTCTCAAAATTATGTATTAGGCCATTGGAAAGAAAAATAGTGTTCTCTTCTTTTTAGTGGATATAAATGGGCACATTCATATTCCAGCAGAGAAGACTAAACTTGATTAATTCAACAGGGTATATACTAAACAAATCACAGTCTGTGTAAGAAGAAAGCAAACAAAAGGAATAACAGTTTCCAAATAAATGCACATGCACAGTGGATGCCAGACTAATACGTGGTACACGAGAATCAATCCATGTTCATTGCTGGTGCTTGTCCCACAGCTGCCAATGTCCTGAATGTGATGAGACAGACACCCAAAAGTACCAGACTTCTCTTGAAGTCTCTGGAGTCTCCCCTGGGAG